CAACAAGATTGCTACAATAAAAGACGTCAGTGTAATAAATAAATTTCAAACAGGCAGCGACCATAGACTACTCAGAGCAAAAATTGTTCTAAACCTAAAACTAGAAAAAATAAAATTAATCGCAAAACCAACAATAACCGGTATAAATATTAGTAATCTAAAAGAAAACTTAGGTCAGTATCAAAGGACAATTGATGAAAGATTACATGATCAAATCGACAGCTCTCAATTAATGCAAATCATCCTTGATAGTGCCAAAGAAATCGGAGGCCCGCAAGAACAAAACGAACATAGGAAACTATCTAATAAAACAAAAATAATGCTAAAACAAAGAAGGGAAATGAAAGTAACTAGCAACGTACAGAGAATACAATACACAGAACTTTGTAAGACAATAAGAAAAGGTATATTAAGGAAGACATAAGAAAATACAATGAAAGGCTGGTAGAAAATGCAATCGAAAACAGAAAGAACTATAAGAAAACAAGAAAAGCATTAATTATTGGGAAGAAGCAAATCGTGGCTCTAACAAACGAAAACACCAGAATTACAGACAGAAATGAAATAATACAACTCGTGACTAAATTCTATAGCGAACTATACAAAGCTCCTGAAACGCTTGAAGAAGCAATCAGTAACCACGAAGATGTACCAGAAGTCCTTCCGGAAGAGGTAGAATCGACAATTTCAAAAATGAAAAGCGGTAAACTAGCTGGAATTGATGGCATAACAGTGGAACTGCTTAAATACGCTGGCAAAAAGACGTGGAACATCTTAGCAGGTGTATTTACGAACTGTCTAAGATCAAGATGCATACCAGACCACTGGAATACAGCAAACATAATTTTGATCCATAAGAAAGGTAATAAAGAGGAGATTAAAAACTACAGACCTATAAGTCTACTACCAATCATATACAAGATATTCACAAAAATCATCAACAACAGATTAACAAATGCATTAGATGCTGCACAGCCAAGAGAGCAAGCTGGCTTCAGAAGTGGATTCAGTACCATGGATCATATCCATACGCTTTGAGAACTAATGAGTAGAGCTAAAGAATATGAAATACCGCTAGCATTAACCTTCATAGATTTCGAGAAGGCTTTCGATTCTATATATCCCAAGGCAGTAATAGAAGCTTTGACCAACCAAGGCATTGACAAACCTTACATAGAAACTTTAGCAAATATATACAGACAAGCAAAAGGTAAGGTAAAAATTTATAAAAACACTCCAGAATTTCTCACTACTAGAGGCGTCCGACAAGGAGACTCTATATCACCAAAGCTCTTCACTGCAAATCTAGAAAATATATTCAGAAAAATGAACTGGCAAAACAAAGGCCTATGCATTGATGGAGAATACCTCAACCATCTAAGATTTGCAGACGACATGGTTCTAATTGCTAAAAATCCTGCAGAACTACAAGAACTTATAAGCGACCTAAATGCAGCTAGCAATGAAGTTGGCCTAAAAATGAACTTGACAAAAACAAAAACCATGTACAACGAGCTAGTGGATGTCCAAGATGTAATAATAAATATTACTGCACTAGAGACAGTAGACGAGTATATATACCTGGGACAATTAATACATAAATCTGGCTCATTACTCCCAGAAATCAACAGAAGAATGAAACTGGCTTGGGCAGCTTTTGGTAAAAATTCAGTTATATTCAAATCTAGGATGCCACTCCACCTGAAGAAAAAGGCATTCGATCAATGTATACTACCAGTCATGACATACGGCTGCGAAACTTGGACACTAAAGAAAGATATAATAGCTAAACTCAAAGTCACTCAAAGGTCAATGGAGCGATGCATGTTAGGTATAACCAAGAGAGATCGAAAAAGAATAGAATGGATCAGACAGAAAACGAAGGTCACTGATGTAATCCACCGAATAAAATCTTTAAAATGGCAGTGGGCGGGACATTTAGCAAGAAGAACTGACAATAGATGGACCACTAGAATTACTCTGTGGTATCCAAGAGGCGTCAAGAGACCAAGAAGACGTCCAAATTTAAGATGGGACTATGACATAAGGAAACAAGCCGGTACAACATGGCACAGAAAAGCGAATATTAGACAGTCGTGGGCAGACATGAAGAACGACTATGTAAGGGAGGCTGCACCATAATTGGTAGAATACGCTGATAATGATGATGATGATAGATATATATATATATATATATATATATATATATATATAAATACCAGTCTAAAAGAAATATATTTGAAGATAAAAATGCACGAGATAAAATTATGAAAACTAACTATCGTTATTTTTAGACCCCAACATCTTGTAGAGAACGGTTGAATGTTGCTAAAGGATTTCAAGAAATGTGGCAGTTTTCCAACTGTATTGATGCTTTGGATGGAAACATTTAATGTTTAAACGTCCCATATCTGCAGATTTATATTATTACAATTATAAAGGGAATCACTGAAAAAGAGCTTATGTGATTTTAATTCCCAATAAATTTTTTAATGCTCAAACTAAAACTCCTCATAATTATTTTCCAATTAAAAGAAATCAAACAAAATTGGCAAATGAAAGTTTATACTCACAATACAATAATGATAATTTTAAAAATTTTCGTTTTCGATCTCCTCTTCTTGATTTTGACTACTTACAAAATCTAGTTCATTTTCTTGGCTGTCCTGTGAACACCTAAGTATGGAATGCTCCGGTATGGATAATATTTTTTTATAATACTAAAGCGAAGGTTTGTCAATCTAATAAAATAAAATAATAATAGAGCAACTATCAGGTTTTAAAAACACATTACTTATACTGCTACTTTTTTCATGTCTTTTTGTTTGTGTACGCGACTTATCGTAATGGTTTTAGTGTTAACAAAAATCTAATCAAATTAGCCCAACAAATAGACATAAAAAGCCATAATGTAATAGAAATATTACTTAGATCATTGCTTCCAGCTCCGCTTACAAATGATAAATATTTTCTATGTTGATGTAAGAAGTTTGTTCGTAAATAATTGTAAAACTTGGCTTTTATCTCTGCCACAGCTACGTCTACACCAAGTTTGCACAATTCCTCCTTTATTTCTTCCAAAGCTTTTATTCCCGCATTTCTATTTTTGTACAATGGATGTTTTGGCACATATAAACAAGGATTGGCTTTATATAGCTCGATTAAAATTTCTATTTGATTATGCCTTTACATATCTAAAATCAAAATATAAACATACGTAACATAATCTCACTTTTGCTTAATATTTGATCATTTTTAGTACAAGAAATCAGAACATGCTCTAATTTTTAATACTGAATCGGCGCGGGCACCTAATTTTTAGATGCAATATTTTTAGTACTAAATTCAGTACTGAATTTAGCATAATGGCAAGCAGACCTAAAAATTATTTCTCAACCGTCAGCTTTTGTAATAAACAATGCTATCTACGTGCCATCTCTGTTAAAGTTGGAGACCAGTACGGTTGATTCGATTCTATTTAGTCCTGCGTTTATGTGGTTATTTCCTTTGGTGTTCGATCAATTTTATATATTTCTCAGATACGAATTCTTCTTTCTAGCCATCTTTCGGTCTTTCCCATCTATCTTCTCTCTATCTTTCCGTCCAAGTTTAGTTGCAGCTGTTCGTGCTCTGCGTGGCGCATGATATGACCAAGGTAAGTCATTTTTCTCATCTCAATAGTTTGGAATTAAGGAAAATAATAAAAGCAGTTTAATTTTCCCATTTTTAATTGCTCAATTACAATATACTGATCTTTACTATAATATACCGCCAGATATCAACTTTTATTAGTTGTATATGAAGTGTTTTTAAAAATGCGCAATGCAGAATGCATCAAACTTCTAGATAATTTCTGCACTTTTGTTGAAACTAAACATGAATTAACTGCAAGTGTCTTCCTGGCTATAATAAATAATTACTTGAATCATAATTTTCTTATTAACCGCGCAATTTTGGCGGCGAAAAAAAAGGTTGACGTTAACAAAAAGAACTTCCAGATTCAACAGTTGTTACCAGGAGATCTAATATCTTTTAAATCAGTCGACAGTATTGTTATTGAAGACGAAGTCGTAAATTATCCAAAATAATTTTTAAATTCTCTGGATACACTGGGGATGCCATCACGGATTTTTAGTTTAGCCATCACAAGATTAGTTACACAAGCATTTTTATCAATGTTTACACAGGCTTTACAAGCATCGATATTTATTTCTTTAGTGCTATAATATGGATGCCATTCATTCTTGGTGTTCTATTGGCTTTCAATTTTTTGAAGTCAAGTTTCTATACCGGCATTGTATTACTTGTTTCTCTACAGTAAAATACTGATGTGTGCTCCAGAAAATGTCATCGTGACGGGAAGCGTCACAAAATTGCGGTTCTTTACATTGATTCAAGACTCTAGATTAATTCATTTTTAGTCATCATGTATTTATTAATATTTAGTCTTAATTTATGTCAGAAAGGTATGTCAGAAATAAACAACGTATGCTTGGTTAATACGCTTACAGTTGGCGTCAGGAGCAAACAGAATAATTTATTGGATGTGTTTCTGGATTTGTCCATAGCATACGGACAAAATAGTTCTTTTCTAATCTCAATTAAATTAAAAATAATTTTTTTATGTTTAATTTACCTAATAATCAATGATCAGTTTCAATAAATAAAGAATCAGTGATAACTGATGTAGAATCTGACAGTTCTGTGTGTTATTAAGCATGAGCTATGATCAAATAATAAAACCATATGTCATTTTATACGTATGTCCCCTACACTTCTTCGTTGTCAGTAGTTTGTGGCATTTTTTGTTTGAATTTTCTTTGGATTTTAGTATTTTCCATCCGTTACTGAGCTGATTTCGAATAAGGATAGACTGCGCGTTTTGGAATAGCCTATTATCTGATTTAAGAAGGAATCGGCTCTCTTATGTAAATATTTTAATCTGGTCACTTAAAACTTTAATGTATTTTTAAGATTATTAATTTTAAATTTACTTTTAGGTACTTTACACCAAATTTTGCTATGTTTTTCTATTCAAATTAACATGAAAAAACTGACATCAGCTAGTAATAATGCCGATGGTTTAAACTGCACAGCTGGGATGAAAGTGTTTTCAATGATTTTAATTATTTTCATCCACAGAAGTACCTTCGATTTTGGTGCAGATATTAGTAATCCAGAATATGTAGAGCAGGTACGATATTTGTCGTTTTTGTTGAAAGAATCTTATTTAAATGTTTTAGATGTACTCCAAGTTTTGGATGTCGTTTGTTCTAAACGGACCGATATTGGTAGACACGTTTTTTACTATATCTGGATTCTTAGCTGCATATTTTGCTTTACTCTCCTACCAGAAGTTAAAAGACAATTCTATTATCATTAAATTATATGTACATCGTTACATAAGGTACAATAAGATAGTTTTTTTTTCAAATGTATTTATTTTAAATGTGAAACATTTGTCATTTTATTTCAGAATGACATCTACCTACATTATCATATTGGCATTTTACTGTACTTTATTTGTCAAAATCGGAAATGGTCCCTTATGGAGAGAACGTGTAGAAGTAGAAAGAGAGAGATGTAGAAAAAGTTGGTGGCTTAATTTATTATTTATTAACAATTATTTCAATACAGAAAATTATGTAAGTAAAGTCTTTTTACCATATGACCGCCGATATGCAATTAAGATATGATCAGTGGGCTTTAAAACAGTGGGGCGTTAATATTTAATTCCGATCACTTAAAAAGTAAAAATATTTTATTTCTTGTATTTTATGTTCAGTAATAATATTGGATTTTACTGTATCAAAGGCAAATAAAATGAATATAATAAGTATGTACAGGACGTGTTAAAAGAAGTGGGACGGAATATTTCGAATACTCGAAATTATTTGTCGACATCAAATGTTCATCAAGGTCTCTATAAGTCTCTATTTTGCGTAGAAGGAAAATTATACGAATGATTTTGCATGCAGTAAAATTGAAAAATACTTGTTAAGTTGCTGGTATGTCCAAATTTGAATAAACTACATCCAATACTTTACTTTCTGCAGACACTATATTAAATATAACCTTAAAACAAATTGCCACTATATTACTTTCTGATTTTCAGCAAAACAATAGGTTTAAACATGTGTAAGTCCAGTAATTAATACCAAAGCTGTTGAGAGTATGCTGTTCAATAATTAGACCGAAGGTACTTTATCGTTTAACTAAAACACACCACAAGTCCCAATTGAATTCCCGAAACATTTTTTGTTACTTATTTTTAGCAAACGATTTATCCTATTCACTGTCTCATATTTCACTATTAGAGTCGTCACTATCTGAATTGTCTATCCTAATAATTATAGGTCGGGACTTATCTTATCTATAATGAGAACTAAAATGACTATTTATAAAGTAATTGTAGAGCCCATTCTTACATATGGAGCAGAATGTTGGCAAATGACAGTAAAAGGAAAGAAAAAAGTTGACACGGTTGAAATGGACTACCTGAGAACAGCTTGCTATATATCAAGAGTAGAACGTATACCTAATTCTAAAATTAGAAGGAAAACAAATAGAGTACATACAACTTCTGAAAGAATAGAAACTAGCCAGTTAATATGGTATGGACACGTACAGAGGATGGACGACAACAGATCGCCAAAAAGAGCTATGGAATACAATCCAAGTAATAGAAGAAAACGAGGAAGACCAGCCAAGTCTTGGATACAAGGTGTTATGGAAACCATGAAAGACAGAGCCATTGATGAAGGCGATCGAAATGCGGGAAGCGGCAGAAGCTGTAGGATCCCCGCTTATATATATATATATACATATATATATATATATATATATATATATATATATAGATATATATAAATATATATATATATATATATATATATATATACTTATATATATATATATATTATATATATATATATATATATATATATAATATATATATATATAGATATATATATATATATATAAATATATATATATATATATATTATATATATATATATATATATATATATATATATATATATATATATATATACTTATATATAACTCGCTCGGTTTGAAAAGACTGAACGATGACTGAACGATTGTGTCTTCTGTATGTCTATATAATTTTGCCATTGTTCTGCCTTTATTTGTTCGAGCTATTCTTTCCATAAACTAAGAACGTTAGTGTCATCTGTTGTTTTCGATGCATGTTTACCATCAAAATTTTTGGCTATACCCCAAAATAACCCAGGGCGAAAGTCGAAGAACTTGGTCTTCAATTTGTAATTTTGCCGTAATCCGGTTCGAGTTGATTAAAGAGGTGAAGCGAAAATAAAAGCTCGTAAGTACTCTAACAAAAGAAGACTTCCAACATGGCTTTGAACAATATAAAAAAACGAATGCAACGGTGTGTGGTGAGGGAAGGGGAATATATTGACGGAGAGCATTCGATTGTAGAATAATTTTTAAAATAAAACTCTTTTTCATAAGCAGTCTCGTTACTTAATAGCCAGACCTCGTACATATATATCATCGTATTTTATGTTTTATGAATAAATGTTAAATAAAAAAATTGTCAAATAATTTAATTGTGTCTATGAAAGTTATATTGCGCGGTATCTGTGAAGAAGAATATTTTTCTTCTTCTCCAGAGCGATGGGATTGTGGCAATTGGGCTGAACTTGGCGAGTAACGAGGATACTGTATCTGATATACTGTATGCGAGATACAGAATTTGTGTCTGAAAGCGTTCATTTAACGTAATGTTTCTTCTGTATCTGGATCTGGCATACGCATTCGGTATCTCGCATACTGTATCACTCGCGCGTCCCGTGTGAAAAGCTCCATTTGAGTCTATGTAATATCTGCGTCTCGGATACGCGTATTTCGGATACAGTATCCTCGTCTGAAAGGGGGGTTAAATCACAAAACTGAAGTGTTTTGTTTGTATCTCGCGTTGTTTATACGAGGAATGAGGATGGCCGTGTAGCAAATAGTCTCTAAGTTTCTCTTAAGAATAGTAAGGCGGCTACACGTTTTAGGTTATGTACGTGAAGACACACACACACACACACACACACACACACACACACACACACACACGTTCATTAAAATTAAATATGAAAAGAAATAAATAATAAAATACTTACAAGAAATAATAATAAAGGTATGTGTGGAGGGATGTAACAAAACATAATATTTAATTGATTTTTATTGTTTTTTTAGTGTATGTTCCAATCTTGGTACATGGCTTGCGATATGAACGCCTTTATCTTAGTTCCAATCCTTACTTTTATACTCTTTAAAAAACCTGTAATAGGAGTCCTAAGCACTGTCGCCCTAATGATAGCATCGATGGTAGTAACTTTCGTTACTATTTATACTAACGATGAAACGCCAATTTTAATAATATATATGAGGTAAGTGAATAGTGTGTATGTTATATTTGTAATTGCAAATAATATTAAAACAATTTGTAAAATTGGGAAGATAATAAGAGTTTTTGTGAATATGCATTACAAACCAGGACAGGATTAGACTGCCTATATATTAAATAAAAAATCTTATTTATGAAACGCTCAGTTAATTTATCATTATACGTCTGCACTATTTATTTCTCTGTCGACTTGATTTTGGAAGACAAAATAAGTGTTGATTATACAATGTTTAATGAAAGATAAGTGGTCTTGCTGGATACTGTATTTAGTTTTCAGAATGTTTAGAGTTTGGTCTATAGAAATGTTTATAAAGAGTGAAACGATAACCCAAACTTACTATAATTTCTAACGGTGAAATACGGTATATTTTTAAGAAGTTCGATGAAATGAAAGAATTTTTGACGAAGGATGAAGCATTTTCGGTGAAAGGTTGTAGAGATTTAGCCAAGTACTTGGCCAATGGTTGTTTAGGCAGCTGTATGCAGTGACAATGGGACGTAAAGGAATATCGGGTTAGTGCATTTTGGGTAGGCCATATGTTCGAGGTGTTCTGAAAGACTTTTTATAAGGAATTAGAGAAATATGCCCCAATGGGTTCCCCACTATTTCCAGTAATTACCAATATCTTTATGGAAGACTTCGAGACCCGAGCACTATACACATCAATGCTCAAACCCACATGTTGGCTACGATATGTTGACGATACATTCGTCATTTCGCCTTATGGCAGGGATGCTTTGGTGTCTTTTCAAACCCGTCTATATGGTATACATCTTAATATCCAGTTCACGATGGAGGTGGAAATTGATTCATACCTACGGATTCTTGACGTTATCTTAATGAAAAACTAATCCCGAGGTTTTCATCACTCTCTTTAACAAACATCCACCCATACCAATCGTTACTTACATGCCAACTCTCATCATCCACCTTCACGGATTTATTCAGTCATTGATACCCTTATCTTCATATAAATACGCCTTTGCGATGATGCAATTAGACACGCTGAGCTCTACTCTTTAAGTTTGGAGTATTATTGTGATTTGAGAGTTAAAAACTATATAAATATATATCACTCTCAGTGCAAGACTGCAGTAAGTCAGAATAAGTAAGTTTCGAGATAAAAACGATTTTGTTTATTTTCGTGCTAATATCGGTGAAATAAGACACACATTTTAACAAAAATTAACATTTAATTATGATTTTGCATGCTTTTCAGCCTATTTTACATTAACCAAAAATGGAAATTTAAATAAAATAATATAAATGCTAAAAAAATTGAGAATTTCAAATTTACAACACTTTTGCATGGAGAAAATTGTAAAAAGTGTAGACACATTTTCTGTTAGTTGTTGGCCTCTTCTCGTATATTATCTTGGGCCAAAATATTTTTATAAAAACTGTGGTGGGCTTCTGGTATCATACCCGAATGGCATAAGTATACTGAATTTTTCTTTTTGGCCGTTCTTTGTAGGCAGGTTTAAGTAGCACTTCTCGTATATTATGTGTAATCCGTGATGATTTTTTTAGATTAAAGAATTCCATAGTTAGTCATCGTAGTTGTACTTAAAGAAAATTGTGTGCAGACTATCTTTTCTACATTTCAGAATTTTTATATCTGTCTAAATATACTTTAGTATTATTGTTTCTCTAATACATTGTATCTATGTACTTTTAATCATTTCGCTTAAATCAGAAGTATTTTTTTGAACGCCTCTATTTCGTTCAGTTTACACTAGTCGTAGAAATTCTCACCATTGAATTTGAACACAAGAGTAGATGGATAAATTATAAAACAACAATTAATTTAAATTTAACTTACTCTGCATATCGTTGCTATTCTCACTTACCTGCGCACACAGGGATAAAGTACTCAATGTTCTGGAATTATTAAATTTTTGTCATTTTCGAAATCGTTAATTCTCCATCTATCACTTGCAAGGGCTAATAACAGATTATATTAAAAACTACACTACTAAAATGTACCTACTCGTACTTCTTCCCTGAGAACTCGTTTCTAATGAGTTAATCAGGGTAGCTAAAGAGAAAGTAATCTCCAACAACGATAGAAATAATACTAAACATTACATTTAATGGATGCCCAGAAATCGTCTGGTAGATAAAGGGAAAGTAATTTTTCGGGTTTGGTATATACGTTTAATAAATACCAATAAGTCATCGAGTAAGTGAAAAAAAATGATCCCCAACAGCAATCGGGGTTTGGTGTGGTATTAAACTTTACATTTAATAGATTCCAAGAAATCAGATAGCTACCTAAAATAAATAGGTACCTTATAAAACTGCTTATCGCTAGCGGCAATTTAATCTTCTGCACATTGTTCTGATAGCCACAATTCCTTCGCTTTGTAATGAGAATGTCATAACAAGGTAGAAAAATTATTTGTAAAACTTCCAACAGTTTTATTTAAATTCAAAACAAAAGGACTATAATAAAAATATGCAAATCAGGCTACTTTGAGTACAGTGTTAACAAAATTGTAAAAAAATTCACTATCTTAGTAAAAGTTGGAAAAGAAAGATTTAATACAATTTGGGATTTAGTTTTGTCACCTCGGGGTAAATAATAAGGGTCTCAATCACCTTCTGTACCACCGTGTGCTCTGTAGAGGGCTTCGGAAACGTCGACGAAAGCCCCTCTACTTGAATCCATTTGCGGGGTATGGATTCGTAAAAGGTTTTCTTCTGATGAGCTCGTCTTGAAAAAGACGAGCTATTTCTTACATGACTTATGAGTCGAAATTAACATCAGGATGCAGTCTATGGTGGCTTGCCTTGACAAAGGCAAGATATTTCTTACACGACTAAATAGTCGAAATAAAACACTAAATATTGTTCAAATAAAATACTCAGCCACAGAGTATGAAAAGCTAAAAAGGAAGCAGAGCCCCGAGAGCACTGAGCTCTCGGAGAGCCCGTGAAGGACTGACTTGATTGACCTGAAAATCGCCTATTTTTATACTTTCTGAAGTAGCGATTAGGGATTTCCAGGTCAGGGAGGGGCCAACGGGAAAAATAAGGAGCGGGGCGATGCGTCTCGAACGTGAACTAGTCGCGTCCGAGAACAGTTTTGACAGAACAAGTTTTCTAGGAAACGATATTTTTAACCTGTCAATATTGTTAATACACAAGTTTTAAGATAACTGTTTTTCCTTTACATGAATAGATTGGTCTCGTAAATCTTTGTTTATTGTCTCGGCCGTTATACGATTACGTAGACAGGCTGTATATTAAAATTAAATACCACAGATATAGATATTAAAATAACAAATATCTTATTTTTTTTGGTGCCTTTCATTGCTTGTTATTGAAACCATTGCAATGTTCCGTGCAAACTGTTGTAAGTCTGGTACATTAGAATTACAACGGTTTTGCACGGAACTTATGTACAAAATCGCAAAATAGGTAAACTGCTGTTGTTGTTATATTTAGCCGGTTAAGCCTTTGAAAGTTAGTAAAGTTTTACAAGGGATAGATATGCATGTTTACAATTGAATTCCATGATTACTTCAATTTCATAAAATTTTGAGTCACTGCAGTGTTGCACTAAGGGTGCGATATATATATATATATATATATATATATATATATATATATATATATATATATATATATATATATCGGAAAAGGAGTACGACCGTCAATCCAATATATATAAGGATCACTCAGACAAGTGGTGAGTTCTTATATCGGTCTCAAGGTGGAGAAATAAAAGACAAAGTTGATAGGCTACTTTATCTATTTTGAAGACGTTTCGCTTTCGTATTTTGAAAGCATCATCAGTTCATCTAAAAAGTACAATATGAGAACCACACAGTCATGGAAACGATGTTATAATTGTTACCTTAAAAAGACATGTAGCAGTCAAAGTTATTTATAATTATGTGAATGAAACTTAAGTAAATGGACATTATACGGCGATATTGTATAAACAATCAAGTAGCTAACAACATATAACAACTTATACAAAATTAGCACAGCAACTGACCATGTGGTCTAAAGTAAATGAAATATTATTTAATCTTAAGTAGTAAGCAAGAACCAAGAAAATCATAGACAACTTCCAACTATTTAATAATTATTAAGCTTTGATTTTAACTTTATAATGCTACCTAAAGTTATGTATGTATATATATATATATATATATATATATATATATATATATATTTATGTATATATATATATATATATGTATATATATATATATATATATATATATATATATATATATTATATATATATATATTCTCTAAAATAACAGCCGATCTGGTAAATGAAAAGGGGGTTGAGGTATGCATCTGATTGAAATAAAAGTGTACTCTGTTCAACAGTTCATTATATTTCGCCAATTTTCATTGGCATCATCAGATAAGAGCTACAATTATTTAAAACATGGTAAAATACAATTTAATAATTGTTTGTTATTTATATCTTACTTGATTGAGGTTAACGATAGTGTGATTTTTTAATAACATTAAGCACAATGGTTTGTGGATGCAATGTGAATTGCAGCTAAATTTGACAAGTAACATTTAGTTTAAAAGGTTGTATAATTTACTTTAACATTTAAAATATAAGAACAAACACAATTCAAATTAAAAACAAAACAAACATAAAAACGTTTAGTTGAGCGATTGTCATTAAGGTTAAGTACCAGAAAAACCAAATATTGAATGTAACTGAATAAATTATGCCAGAAGATAATAAGTTCCATGTCGTTGATGTGGTAGTAATTTGTTTACAGAAAATCTCAATAAAACAATACATGTACCTACTCCCTTTTTCTTCAATGGTACGATAGTCAAATTGGACCCTGGTTTCTTCCAGATTTCTTCTGCAAACATTAATTGCTTTGGAAGTTCTCTCCAATTATCGCCGCTTAACACCTGTTTAGCATTGCTGCTTACTTCATTTAACCACCTTTTTCTTGGTCTTCTCACTGGTCAACGCTCCATCATAGTTT